TAATTTTTATTTAGAAAATTTTCGATAAAATATATATTTAGAAAACTGCATAATGAGAAGTTTCATAACTTGTACTCTTCTCCAAGTGTAATTAGAATGATCAAGTCAAGGGGTATGAGATGGACAGGGCATGTAGCATGAAGGGCCAGAGGAGAATGCATATAGGATATTGGTGGGAAAGCCAGAAGGAAAGAGACCACTGGGAAGACCAAGACGTGCTTGGGCGGACAATATTAAAGTGGATCTTGGAGAGATATGATGGGATGGTATGGATTTGATTGATCTGGCTTAGGATATGGACCAGTGGAGAGCTCTTGCGAACACGGTAATGAACCTTTGGGTTCCATAAAATGTTGGGAAGAATTGAGTAGCTGCAAAATTGGCGGCTCCTCAAGAATGGTTCAGCTCCGTGAGCGAGTGAAAATATATATTTAAAGAAACGCAACTGAAAAAGAAAATACACGATACACATGCATTGAAAACGAACTTCAATTTTACATTTATACAGTTATTGTAATTTTCGACATTATCCCTTGTCCTGTTTTTATGTAAAACACAACCAGCACCAACTCAAGGTAAAGCTGTATAAAACAAGAACAATATAAACCGTCTGTTATATTAAGACAAGCATTGAAACATTAAGAAACTTCAGACACGTGAGGCCTAGCACCTAGGGCCATGCACAATTTCATGGCTATTGTTGTAAAAATCAGAGTTCTGTCAGAATTAGTACTGTGGTCTGAACGACTCAGAGAAAGAACATTCTTGGCGCTACCGGGACTCGAACTCCGACCCTTCGGTCGTCCAGTCTATAGCCTGTCGCTATACAGACTGCGCTATCCCGGTTCCATAGAACAGGCTGTGAAACAAAATTAAATTAATGGAGACTGTTTTCTCATATTCGGCATTCTCCCATTCGTAATTTGGCGTTGCGTCCATCGCCAAATGAACAAAAGCTTAATTTTTTGGGTCAGTAGGTATAGATAGTCTGGAACCATGATTTGCATCATAGCATCGTCTTAAGAGCTTCAAAATTAATTTAAAATTAACGTAGAGAAAATATTGGTGCTGACCCCATAAAACCAAATTTCAATAAAAATCCAATCAAACGAAAGGCGTGGACCGTTATTTCCGAATTTCAATATCCGCCTTTACACCGTGTATTTTTTCACTTGACACATTAGCTTTCATTTCTATTAGGAAGACGGGAGTCTTTTTAATTATGTCGCTCGCCTCAGAAGACGGCGTCATGGGCTCGTTTATGCTGCGGATGCACACCAAATGTTTTAACAGAAGGATATACTACGAGCCAGATAGTAAACACGGACACAAAAAGATGCTAATTTTTATATGCACAAATATTACGTGTACATGTTAACGTCAGACGCTAGTTAGTGGTTCCTAAAGTGTGACTTCTGAATCGCAACTTGTAAACAAAACATATCGCACGGTTCGCTGCGAAAATGTGTATTTTGTCGGCATTTTTACCACAATTCTCTGTTAATACAAATATTTATATATATATGTATAAAATTGTAAATAGTTTATTTTATTTGGTTATGATAATAATGCGAGCCGGGGTAGTGCAGTCGGAACAGCGACTGACTACGGGCTGGACGACCGAGGGGTTGGAGTTCGGGTCCCTGTAGGGTCAGAATTTTCAGTTCTCCATATCGTTGAGACGTCAATAGGGCCCACCCACCCTCCTATCCAGTGGGTACCGGGGAGTCTTCCCCGGGGGTAAAGCGGCAGGGGCGTGAAGCTGACTACTCACTTCCAGCTAGTTCCAAGATCAAGAAAATATGGATCTATACATCCTCTCCTCCATACACCTTCATGGAGTAGTGCTTAATTAGTTAAGTACGGGGACAACTTTACCTTATGATAGTAATATTCCTTTACATAAGTGCATTAATAAAGCACCGCGTACTTCGAAGGACGCTTAGTTCAGTAACTGTGTGAAATATAAAAGCAAATATGTTGAACTCGTGCCTTTGCTTAATTAAGCACCATGTCATAAAGACGTACTTAACTTTGGCACTAGACATAGGTAATAGGTCAAGTTTTGGCCACTTTAACGTCAACTAAATATCTCTCAGTATTAACTGGATAAACGGCTTCGTGGGCCTCAGCCGGTTTTGACACTGTGCAGTAGAGAAGTACCATTTGCTTCTAATGGGAATCGAACCCTATTTTCTGCACCGACTAAGCTGTATAAAAATATTATTCTAAATGTATGAATGAAGTGTATGGTTATTAAAATTTGCCTGAAGACTGATATTAATATACAAAGACAGTTTTGTGCATGACGTCATAATCCAAAAAATGTGTAATTTGCAACTAAAAACTCGTATATCAGACTCAAAATGTATTGAACTTTTACTTCACAAATTAATCTTCCCAGAAATAATATGAATTATATAGTTGCTTTTGAATATCTTTAAGTAATTCGAATATAGGAACCGTGGTAGAGATGAAAACTGGATACAAAATTTTAATCTGAAAATATTAATCGAAGAAAACATTTGAAAGATTTAAAGATAGGTCAGAGGACGTTACTGAAATGGATCTTAAAGCAGCAGGTTCTGACGGTGAATAGTTCTACATGTGGGACATAATGCCACCTTATATCCCAGGAGATAGAAGTTTTCGTAACCATCGTTGTGATGATATGAATTCGTCAGTTCCTTTAGGAAACGCTGTGATAAATTGGTCAGTGGTCTTTTCGATGTTCGGATTGTATGTACCTAGATTATCTGACTGAATAGAAATTCTAATTCACTTGATTTCTCCTGGCGGTTCCTATGAAGAAGATGGTCTTGTGTGTTGTAACACCAAGTGGTTCAGAGAATGTCCAAAATTTCGGAGTAATATATCGCCCCCTCTTTCAGGGAAAAAGTAAGCCAAGCAAAAAGCCTCAGAAGTTGCAAACAGAGCTCAGTTTGTCAAACGCTTCCGATGGTTTTTATTTGGCTTACTCTTCCACCGTGAAGATGGAGGCGATAAGATCTTCGAAAATGTCGGTCTATCTCCAAACTACATGTCGTTGTAAGATAACTCCGAAGATCTGCTCTTTTTTAACTGGTTCTTCTCATTAGCTCTTGACATGCATCGAGACAGTGCTGTCACGTTGTATGTGTGACTATAGACGTGAATAGATTTATTGACCTCTTACAGGTCATAAATTCAATTCAGTTCAATTCTTTATTATTAATGTGCCGAGTCAACAGCCGCACGGTCAATTACAGACGGAGCACAGTGCAGAAGAATGAATTACATTCTAGACAAACTTATTAAAAGTCACATACAAATTACAAGAAATAATAATGAATAAAAGTAAAAGTAAAAGTAAACAAACAAATAGCTGATATGGAATGAAACATAAATATTTAATAAAAATACTAACAGTTATACTATATTTAAAATTTGTTTGGGTAGAACGTTCCTGGCTCCGAATACGTCAACATACAAATAACTATAACACTATTGCTATTTCCTCACATTACATTTTACTAAAGCACACAGTCTAGTGTTCTCAGTGTGTTATCAGATGTTTCCTGCCAACGGCTCCAACAATGGCTATTTCTCTGCCTCAGGCTCAAGGCTACCTTACAGAACTAACAACTGACTAAGCTTCAAACGTCCCGGTTATAACATCTCGGCACGGATCACATAGAAAACCGTTCTTCTGTTGTGTGTATGTATGTTGCAGCAGTTACGTAGCCACCGCTTAGCAATGGGTCTATAAGCCACAGTATATATGTGCAGGCTACTACTCCTACATTTCCAAGTATTTTACGAGCAGGATCATTCAATTCGACATTAAATTCATTCGTCTTCATGTAACCTATACTCCAGCTAGAAAAGGCATGGGTACTTCGCTGAAATGTACCCTTCTTCTTCCACATTCCCAGTCAATAAATAAATTGATCCATTTAACCATGTCCGTGTATGAATTGTAGCATCCAGAAAATATGATTATATAAAACAATAAACATGAAATATTCTTGTAAGATTTGAGGTTTTCACGGCGGTGACTATGAAGAAAGCAGTCTTCTGGCATGTGGCACCGTGTAGATGTGGTGTTAACCGATTACTTGTACCGGTTCTGACGGATTTTTCTTATTTTTCGTTCTACCCTGAAGATGGAGGCGATATGTTCCTCCGAAACGTCGGTTAACGCCACATCTACACAGTGCCACATCCCAGAAGACTTCTTGCTTCATGAAATATTCTTACCTCATACTCTCCAAAGCGAGCGATCCATAGCCCTTCATCGTCTCTTAAAGCCGTAAGCCGAAGGAACGTTGTCGAACTCTCTTTACGGTACGACGGTGCTTGCTTCAGGGTTGTGTCACATCTTACTACGGCAGCCAGTACCACATAAAGCACAGAAGACACTACCAAAGCTGACATCATCTTGAAATTGTGCATGTATTTCTAACAGCATGTAACTGTATAATACATCCACTTGCCAGGACGTATTACGATAAATTCGTCATTGAATGCTCCTTTCGTTTCTTTTTGTTAGACTGCTTTTGCTTGGGAATGGGTGTTCTACTCCGCCATTTGTATTACGTCATCGTAACGGAAGGATCTTGCAGCTGTTCTGACTTGTAAAGTGTCGAGCGTAGAGAAGGCTAGTGTTACGAAGCTTGCAAGGCGAGCCTTACTCATTGTCCTAGTTTATTTATGCCATTTTACGTATCTGTTTCCTTCTAATTTTTAAGGGATTAATTTACGACTCTGCCAATACGATAAGCATCAAATAGGAAGACGATGAATTGAAATAATGAATAGGAAATTATTTGGAGGGAAGCTGTCGTAGGCTAATAAAAAAATGTTCCCATGGACTGAGGAAAACTATGAAAATTTTAGTTACTGTAGGATTCTGACGATGGTGTATAACACACAGAGATATTGGGTTTTCGGAGTTTATCCATCGTCCTGGACCACTGGTCCAGTGATTGAGGCTAGCTCTTTCTAAGGGACCCAACAGAATAGGTGTTTTACCTCACCTGAGGACGGAAACAGATTCAGTTTCCGAAACATCGTGTTTTTTCTTAATTATCTTAAAAACCAGGACGATGGATAAAGTCCGAAAACCCAATATCTCTGTGTATGAATATTTTAGTCGGGATTACCTATATCGTAACCCTGAGTCGAAGCAAACATCTACAGAATTGGGTCAGGACGGTTATTGCTACGTGCCAGTTTTAGTGGTTTTACTCAGTCACTTTCTGTATGCCACGCGCGGCTTCGTTTCCAAATCATGAATCTTCATAATAGCCAACGCCGTGTGTTCTCCATATCGGGAGCGCTCCAAAACGAAACGAAATAAAACACAAATGTCACTGCTACTTCCAACCCTCTCAGTAATTCTGTATCGAATTCTGGAGCATATACGGATGTGGCTTCTCTCCTGAGTTGAGTTAATTGCGCGGGATATTGTTCTTTGGGACTGGCTTTGCTGTTTACTTTTCTTCGGATCGCGGTTTCGGAACGACGGCTGCCAGGCATGATTTATGCATATATTTCTTTCGTCCTTTTCGCGTAGTCATATTTAGGATAAGCCACGATATCTTTCACATCCATCAGTCAGAGTCATCTAGTCATCATATCATCTTTGTTTTCTTTGTGGTTTGTTTAGCGGTGCTATCTAAGTTCAGGAGCCGGGATAGCGCAGTCGGTATAGCGAGTGGCTACGCGCCAGTAACTTTGTAACTTTTGTACATCCCATCAAAGGTAAATGTCCAATAGGATATAATCTCCTCGAATTATTGACTGTCAATCAGCTACCCTGCCAGTCACGGTAGCCGAGCGGTCTAAGGCATGTACTGTCTTCGTTCGCTTGGAAACCGGGATCGTGGGTTCGAATCCCACTCAGGGCATCGATGTTTTATTATGTGTGTTTGCGTTTTTCTGTGTTTGTGTACAGGTAGAGGCCTTGCGACGAGCTGATCACCCGCCCAAAGAGTCCTACCGAATGTGTAAAATCTAGAAAAACCGAAGTGAACGGAGAAGTTCATGGAGGTAGGCCTAGACCCACTGGGGCTGTAGTGCCAAGGGGGAAAAAATCAGGTACCCTGATTCATTAATTAGGTTCTGCTATTAATTCACAAACTTGGAGCAGACAAATCATTTCGTCTTGCGAGCTAATTATCACTAGATCCCACAGATGTACCAAATTATGGTCTTTTGGATGTAGCATCGTGCAGTTCGATAGTGGGTACTAACGTTTCAGTGGAACCTGTTGCATTCACCTTACGGTCTTTAACAGTCTGTTGGCCAGTTCAGTTTTGTGGATGAAGGAGAAAGGAAATAGGCAGAAATAAAGGGATTCTTTACCGCAGTATAAGAACTTATTTCTTGGAAGGAACAAAATGACGCCATGGATCATTTTCCTTTGCAGACAGCCATCATGTGCAGAAATGTGACCGTACTTCAAGCAGTGTCATGATCAGGTAGACCTTATAGGGGAGTCGGAAATATTTCTGAATTATTTCGCGTTGTCGAGGAGCGAATTCTGATTAAACATTGTATTATATTGCTTCAGGCGTTCAGTTGCAGTCCTAGAAGATTAACGTATTTTAGGGTTTCGAGTTCCGAACATCATACAAAATGCGTCATATATTTGAATTATCGCTCAAAATAACAAAAAATGCTGATATTATTACTATTATTATTGTGTTTTTATTTCTACGATGTTTCTTATTCAAATTTACCTTGGTTTTAATCTCTGTTCTTCTGTTATGAAAACTGTTAAAGTTACTACTCGTTTATATCGGAAATTTCAGTGTTTGTTCTTCAAGCAAAAATCGCCCTTATGATAGTTGTACATCAGCTGCTAATGTTGTTGGAACTTTGATATATTTAAATCAAAAATTGTTAACCCGAATCTTACTTTATAGTATCTATGGCAAATTGTTATTTAATGGGAAAATTCTTGTCTGTATTTCGTAATCGGTACACTTGAACTGTTGAATGGTCACATAACTGGATTAATAATATAGTGAATTGAATAAATTAACTACATGTATTTACTCTAGGATTCTGACAGTGGTGTATAACACATAGAGATATTGAGTTTTCAGGCTTTATCCATCGTCCTAGTTTTAACATAACTAAGAAAAACACGACATTTTGGAAACTGGATCTGTTTCCGTCCTCAGGTGAGGGAAAATACCTATTCTGTTGGGTCCCTGTCACTGTCCAGTGATTGAGGCTAGCTCTTTCTAAGGGACCCAACAGAGTAGGTGTTTTCCCTCACCTGAGGACGGAAACAGATCCAGTTTCCAAAACGTCCTGTTTTTCTTAGTTATCTTAAAACCAGGACGATGGATAAAGTCCGAAAATCCAATATTTCTAAATTAACTACATGCTTATTAAATTGTTCTCAATTTAAAATGCTCTGGTTTCACTTTCTTTTTACACGTCATATGTTATTTATTACTGTCACAGTTTGGAAATAATATATAACTCTTTATACAAGTACCTTTTATGGAACACGCGGTAGCGTAGTTTGTTAAGGTACTAGGCTATAAAGCGAAACGTCGCAGGTTAAAGTCCCGATGATGTGGATTTTTTCAGTTTACCTGATCCTTCCAGCCGCACTATGGCCCTGGGGTCTACTCAACCTTTAACAGAAATTAGTACCAGGAATCTTCCTGGGGGTAAAAGGCGGCCGGTGCATAAAGCTGACGACCTCACTGTCCCTGTATGTTGATTTTCTAGAAAATGTGGGAGCCTCGACTTTTCACAAACCCTATGGGCCTCCACGGCCTATTACAGGGAAACCTTTACCTTTATAAGTTTGATGTATATATTTCGCGGTTTACTTGCCAACACACACTACAGTGCGGTGCGTTGTGTATTACAGAGCTCGAATATCGTATGTTGTAATTTGCAAACATATATCATAATTAGTGTTATTTGATATGTATTGTAAACGTATGGTATATGAATTGGCGTGAATTTGTGAACAGAACTGGAGTGTTGAATAAATGACTCATTTATGGCCATACAAAACAAACACATCATATGTAACCCTATTTGTTTCGGAAATATATTTCAGATACTGTATTTCAAGAAGATATTCACGTGCAGTTGTTTACTTAAATTCGTCAAATGATGAAGAAAAATGCGTGTAAAATGATATAGTACATTAGTAAATTATAAATGTCACTTAAGCCTATAATCCAGTTAGGAGGGTAGTTCTTTGCAATATTTTCAATTTAGTGTATTCATGTAACTAGTTTAACTAATTAAAATGTATGTAAATAAACCTACTGTAAAGCTCGTATAGTTTACTATTTTTCTGAGAAATTTCCTTTTTAGAATAATTTGAAGAGGGAGATGCTTTATCGCCATTGCTTTTCAAACTTATTCTATAATATGCCATGAGGAAGGCCCAGGAAAAATAAGGGAGTATAGAAATTAAATGGAATACATCAGCTCATGTTCTGTTTTGAGCTTCCTTTGCTACGTGCTTGGTTCTTCAACTCTGAAATTAATAGAAGTAATTCTTCTGAAAGTTCCAACTAGAGAACACAGTAAGATAGAATTCTTCACAGTAACCAGCGTAAAAAACCTTAAATCCAACAGCTTAGATCCTTAAATCCAACAGCTTTGGGAATGAAACATTACCTCTGTCTTCTTCATGACAGTTTTGTAACAATGCCTTCACATTAGATGAAGTTGTTTTTATTTAAAGCCTTCGATAATGAAGTTCTACATCAGACAGGCATAAGCAAGATTTTAAAAATATAATTACAGCATTTAATTAGCATTTCTTCTGCTATCCGGATTTTCATCTGAACAGATGAAGATAAAGCACAACACTTCCTGGACTAAATCGTCCCTGTGCTTAAATAATTAAGCACTACGTGTTAGAGGCATATGGGGACCTCGGCACTAGCTGGAGGCGAGTGGTCAGCTTCACGCCCCTGCCGCTTTACCCCCGGGATAGAGCCTCTGGTACCCACTGGATAGGAGTTTGTGTGGACTCCAGAGCCGATCTGGACGACGTGGTGAAGACAAAATTCTTGACCCTACTGGAACTTGAATTCAAACCCCTCAGTCGTCCAGCCCGTAGCCAGTCGCTATACCGACTGAGCTATCCCGGCTCCTCCATTTCCCTAAATGCAAATTCCTGTTTGCAGAAGAGAACTCTGTGAATGTATATTTACGTGCGCATCCTGTTTGTCCCTGCAATATGCACATGCATATAAATCAAAGGGTTAATTATAGATAACATGTAGCCTGTAATATCAGAATGGATTTGTTCTATTTTCATCCCTTCCCCACAGAGAGGTGCAGCCACTGTGCCCCCCTGCCCCCCCCCCACCTGTCAGTCTATCTGACACAGGAAGGGCAGTGTATAGGAGCAGGGCACATCTCTCATTTTGCCTTCCAAGTGCAAAGTGATGCAGTCTTCGCCAGGGGGCGCGTTGTTCGGTTCGTTGGGGAACCAAGCGGAATCGTTTACCATCTGAAATAATTCGCCTGAAAGAAAAACAATACACACACTTACACACACACATATATATAATTTCATAGTGTATAGAATAATGATATTATGTGGTATTTTAAGTTTCTGTGGCGCTGAATATGATTATTGTTGTCTAGTTTGCAGGAAATATACCAACGTTTCCGTGGAACTTGTTTCCTCTGATTTATATCCTGAAGACAGAGGCAGTATATTCCTCAGAGACTATGCTACCGTTATACATGGTGATTCTAAATTATAGCCGGGGTTTCTGTGGCTTATAATTTTCAAACCGGAGAAAACAAAACAGAAACGTCTTACGAAATGTGAAAGTGTAACTCAAAACATTTTATCTTTAAATTTATAAAATTTGAACTGCTTAAGGAAAATGAAGGTGTAACTCCAAAATCTCTAATTCCAGACTTTTATAAACTTTTTGAGTTATATTTTCATATTCTATAAGCAGTTTTATTTTTTGCGGTTTGAGAATTATATGTAACTGAAACCCCGACAATAACTTAGAATCACACTGTACTAGACTGCAGGTCCTGATGCCCCAAAGAACGTAAGAAAGAAAAATCTAATGAGAAATACGAGTAGACTGTACCCAGCACAGTTGTGGGCTTCCTGCTCCTGTCCGGGTAGAACACCCCAACAAACGCCTGATTCTTGAGCACTGCGTGTCTCAACACATCGACGTTGTCTTTGAGCACCTGACTCAACACACGTATCTTCTGCATCGTGTCTGGTATGGTCAGGTATCCCCCATCTTCTTCACAGGCCGCTCTGGCCTCAGGCCACTGCCAGTCTGATGTGTTCAGCTTCAGCCAGCCAATCTGTGTACATAATTACATTTGCTGGGTTTACATTGTCAGTGGGATTCGTTCAGCGCGAGCCAGTCTGTCAACACAGTTACACAACAGTAAGCCTGCATTGCCCATGGGACCAGTTCCCTTTGCAGAGAACTTACACGAACAAGAAGGGTTTTATCTTCTGGGATATATCGCAATATAGTCCGTTATATTGCAGAAAATAAAACTCGACATAACCACCGCTGTGAGAACCTCAAATCATATGGACCTGTTATTCGCAAGATGTTATCTTTCGGATGGTTTAAAACTATATAAATTTTATGATTTTAAATGGATCCATTATAAACTCTAGAGCATTTTGTTGAAACAGTGTTGTTTTTACTGATATGCTGGCTGGGATTCAGATATGACTTATTTATATTAATGTTAATTTTCCAGTTTAATTGCAGTATATTTCAATACCGCCACAAGACAAATGTTGTAGGCAGCATACTTTAGCGCCACAATAAGACACGTGTTGTAGGCAGCATACTTTAGCGCCACAATAAGACACGTGTTGTAGGCAGCATACTTTAGCGCCACAATAAGACAAGTGTTGTAGGCAGCATACTTTAGCGCCACAATAAGACACGTGTTGTAGGCAGCATACTTTAGCGCCCCAATAAGACACGTGTTGTAGGCAGCATACTTCAGCGCCACAAGACAAATGATGTAGGAAATGCTGAAAACCAAACTGAGATATCCGACAACGATTACCGATTTAACAGGAATTTTATTTTTATTTTGCTGTAATCTTATTAGTGTTTGCATTATTGTAAACAATTCAATATACGAGCATATTTGACTTAGTCTTACTTTTATTGTTTATTTCTCTCTCTCTCTCTCTCTCTTGCTGTCTCCTTACATTCATATCTTTCTGCTACAGCAATTTTATTCTTCATTCTTTCTCTCTCTCTTTTTTTTTAATTTATTTTTCTGTCTCAAGGTTTCCAGTCTTCTTTTGTACTATTTCTCTCTTTTCTTTCCTTCTTTCTGGCATGCTGGCTGGATTTAATTTCAGTTTCATAAAGCAATTGCTGATTAACAAGTACCCCTTCCTGCCTGTTGTGTCTGCGGCTGATTTAATAAAGGCCGTTCGAATAACGACCGCGTGTTCTGGAGCCCCACGCCAGACTTGCCGCGTATAAAGAGCTGGGGGCAGGCAGTGCTAGTCACTCCGTTGTGACGACAGAGCTATTGTAATGCAATAGGCTCTAGTAGAATATAATTTATGGAGATGTTTGCTTCACCTGCTTCTGAGCTTCAGAGCTTGTCACCGCGGACAATTTTCCCAGTCATCCGAATTGTATTCATCGTCACTGAATATTATCATAGTTATTTTTGGTTAATCTTAAATTTCTCCTGTGTAATTAATTTCTATATAAATTTCTTCGCCACTTCCGTCTTCTGCTTTGGTAATACAGTAAATAATTTATGCCGTGTAGTCTACCAGACTACGCGGCATCACCTCCAGTGGATAAGTAGGAGGGATACAGAGAGATCTGTTGCCTTGATTTTTAGGACCAGATTACAAAACATCAAATCACTGAAGACCGAAACATTAATAAGTGACGTGACAACTTATTTTGTCGTTAATACTGATATAATTTACCTGATACTCTCGCTGATACATATCTAGGTATGAGAATATTCAAACGTGTAGAATTTTATTTCATATATTGTATCTTGTTCCATCTTGTTCTCTTGTCGCCACGGCAAGGCGCGTCCTCAGGTTGCGGATGGAGGACATGGCCTCCGAGTGTGGAAGGTAGCTGCGAATATATTGAATAAGCAGTCGCGGACACCCAACAAGGGGTGGACCTCCAGTTTAGGGTTTGGAGTGGGGCCAATAACTCCTCACCTTAAAATAAGCTTGTTACGAAGTTTCGCAAAGGGTCTGGGTTCCTTAGATAAATGATCTAAACTAATGAATTTGATCATTTGATTTGGTAGTGGAACGTACGAAGTTTGTATAGGGCATATTCTCTCGTGGAAGTTGCGAAGGAAATATCAAAATATAAGTCAGATTTAGCGGGAGTACAGGAGGTCAAATGGGACAGAGGTGGCACGGAACAAGCAAACTCAACCAACCTGGCCCTCCCGGTTGGGGGAATCTCGAATCTGAGACAGTGAAATATGGTCATGAGTCCCACGGGACTCGGACCCAAGGCCCACAGCAATTGTAAACGACAGACCCATCCTATCGTCAGAGAGAATGTTATGTAAGGACCGTAACTGCAAGTGTGTGTGTGTGTGTGTGTGTGTGTGTAACGGTGAACTGTAAAGCAGATATGTAAGATTTGAGGTTTTCACGGTGGTGACTATGAAGAACCAATCAGTCGACGAAACCACTAATTAAATACATCGTTACAGAGTTGTATCTATTAGAATATTCAGTTAATTATCTGTTAATGTGCCAAAGATTTTAACCAGGTATGCACCGAGAACAAGCCCAGAAATGTACCACCACACGAATATGCTCTAATAAAATTATATAAAAATATTGTGAACGTATACCTAACCCAGAAGAAGTATCTGGGATTGTCCATCCGCCATTTACTCAAAAGAGTTAAACAAAAAATATTTTCACAACATGAAAATTTTGCAAATTAATCCTATGCTTTCATTTTTATTGATTTAGTTTGTTGGTTAGTTTTATTGCATTCTATTTCCACTTACTTTTATATTTTAGTTTAAGGTCTGTACATGTTTTATCATAATTTTAATTATATATTTGCTCGTTATCTCTCACTGACAAAGCCTGAACCCGTGCATTTGTACAGCTGTAGTTATGCTCACATAGGTTGTCCACTGTTTTATATTAGCTCTTTCTAACACTCAGAATTACTTGGTTTTTATTCTTTTTACCATCATCCGGTATTCTAGATATTATAAATTACGATGTTTCGGAATCAGGATCTGTTTCCGTCCTCAGGTGAGGGGGGGAAAACACCTACTCTGTTGGGTCACTAAGAAAAAGCTAGGATTACTGGTTAGTTCTTTCTAATGGACTGAAATGACCAGGCGTTTCCTCCTCACCTGACGACGGAAACAAATCCAGTTTCCGAAGCATCGTAATTTATAATATCTAGAATACCGGATGATAGTAAAAGTCTAAAAACCAAATAATTCTGAGTGTTACACACCATCGTCACAACCGTTTAGAATCTTTCTAACGTGTCTCCCACTCCGTCATCTGAGGATGGAAACAGGTCCAGTGTCCGAAACATTGTGTTCTGTAGAATACCGGACGATTGACAAAGTCCAGAAACCCAGTAACAGCAAATGTACATAGATGTTATGACAAGAGTGAACTTACCCCAGGATAAAATCTGTATCCTTTGTGATATTTCTCATGCTCCGTGATATCGTGTGCAATGAACCCTGATCGAAGAAAGCGCCTCATGACGTCACTTCTCTCCTCAGCCGTCATAAACTTCTCTTGTTCATCCCTTGTGTTCTGATTATAGTCAGGTGTTTCGTTTCGCTTTACTTCTGCTTCTTCAGGCAGCGGATCTTCGTAAGATGGCTCTGTTTCTTCCGAAATGTCGTTGCTAGACAACGTTGGTTTTGCTTCTGTTCGATCCCCACCAACAAAAGTGTGGTCTGGTATAGTGGCAATATCTTGAGCGGAATCATTGACCACCATATCGTCTGTTAATATTTTGCTCTTATCGATTTTGTTACTGGTTGTCGATAAACTCTGGCCGAATGCTTCATTTTCGGGTTCACGGATGCTCGTTTCATCAGGGTATTTTGTGAACGTATGCTTTACTTTTATTGTCCAAATACCATCATCGTGGTTGTCTTTCCTGGTGTCGAAATGTCTGTGCTCAATTATCATCTACAAGAGATTCAATACGTTATTCATCATACATTTGAAAAAAAAAGTAGCTTACAGGAAAATATTTCAGCACAGTCTACAAAACTTCTGTACACAGTTGTAGCCAACTACACACAGTATACAATTGCACTAAACTTCGAACAATATATGTTGTTGAAAAAAGCAGTCTTCTGGGATGTGGTACCTTGTAGATGTGGTGTTAACCGACGTTTCGGAGGAACGTATCGCCAGATCTACAAGGTCACACAGTCCATGACCGACTCACATAGCAACCCCCCCAGCTTAAGGGTTAATGCCCTCCCATTAACCTTGCCTTTCTCCCCCGACACAATATCCTATACCTGCTCTAACCTTGCTCCTGTCCCAGATCCTTTCCCTCTCCCTCTCCACTGATTTCCCATGTAGACTTGTCCCCTTCCTTCCCTGCTCTCATATAGCTGAGTTTATTTCCAACATTAGTCTGCTTGAACCTGTTCTCACTGTATCTTCACTTGCGGATATTCTTATTTTTCCTTCTACCCTGAAGATGGAGGCGAGACGTTCCTCCGAAACGTCGGTTATCACCAAATCTACACGGTGCCACATCCCAGAAGACTGCTTTCTTCATAGTCACCGCCGTGAAAACCTCAAATCTTACATAATATATGTTTTGTATATATCTTACTATAACTGCAGTAATGTTGTGTGGATGGCGTGCACATACATGTATTTTCAGAAAAAGAATGAAGCTAAAATACCATATATAATTTTCAAGTTTCGCTGTTGTACTGCACGGGAGTGGGGGCACGCGGTAGCGTAGTTGATTGAGACACTATGCTACAAGCTGGAAGGTCGCGGGATCGAATCCCGATGAGGTGGATTTTTTCAATTGACATAATCCTTCCAGCCGCACTATGGCCCAGGGGTCGACTGAGCCTCCAACAGAAATGAATACCAGGAATATTCTTAGGGATAAAGGGCGGCCGGCTCTTAAGGCTGACAACCTCACCGCCATCTCTGAGCCGATTGTCTAGAAAGTGTGGGAACCTCAACATCTCANTGTGTCGTTCCTTTGCGCTGACAAGCGTAACGTCGTGGACGCCGTCCCGTCCGGCGACAGGACCCTGCGCGTCCACGAGGCACAGTCGCACCTTGCCGCCATGGCTGCAGCAATACACAACAGAACTGTCGCCGGCGATAAAGACATCTTCTTCTGCTGTGCACTTCAAACTTGGCACGAAGCTGTCGGCTGAATTATTTATAGTGCTTACACTTCGGAGATTACGTGGATGTGTGTCCGAAGGCGGGGTATGCGGGTATGAGCGGCACAACACCCTTATTACGCTTGTTTAATTGTTATGTCATCATCTGCCTTTCTTTGTACTTTGTACTTCCTAGACCACCAAAACCTCCACTTTTCAGGACCATCCTAAATTCCTCTTCTTGTCTCCTATTGGTTCGCTCCTTCGTCACGTGAGAACCCAGCGGTTTCATTCTCTTCCACGACGGAACAATTTTAACTTCCGTTTCCCTGCTTCTTCCTACTTAATACGAAATTGTCGGCCAGGCGATTACTCGGTATTCCACCTGCTTTCACGATGGTATCTTGCTTGGCTTTTTCGGCCTTGACGATGGAAGCATATTTTCGCCGCGAAAATTATCTTGATTTTAACAGACTACATGGCGTTATAACCTAGATGATAGTGCTCTTCATAACCACCGCTGTCAGAACCTAGAATCCTAGAATTCTTGTACAGTTCGAGTGAATCATGTCATATACTTCATGATAATATATTATTTTTCTTTCCTCCGCTATTTCCCCCTCCTGTTTCACGTAGTAGGTACTTTCTCCTTGTTCTTCATGGAGTTCGTAACTTCTCATTCTTCATGTAACGGGTAACCATAAGTTTTGTACCAGCTTCTGCGTCCCAGAGTTAGGTACTGTATGCCTTAACTCCACGGAGGTTGTACTTCACGGATTGAGGACTTTTATTTAGTTTTTAGAGACGGTCATTTCTTCTAATTCGTGCAATGAGTACCTTTTTTACTTCACGTAATACGCAGTCTTGTGTTTTATACAGTAGACATACTCCTATAATTCGTAGGTTGTGCATATCTTGTATTACATGGGTTATGTATATCTTGTTCTTCGTGGGTTGTGCATATCGTGTACTATACGGGATGTACATATCTTGTACTTCGTGGGTTGTGCATATATTGTACTTCGTGGGATGTGCATATCGTGTACTATATGGTATGTACATATCATGTACTTCGTGGGTTGTGCATATCTTGTAGTTTGTGGACTGTGCATATCGTGTACTCCGTGGGTTGTGAATATCTTGTACTACATGGGATGTGCGTATCTTGTACTTCGTGGACTGTGCATATCGTGTACTACATGGGATGTGCGTATCTTGTACTTCGTGGGTTGTGCATATCTTGTACTTCGTGGACTGTGCATATCTTGCACTTCGTAGGTTGTGCATATCTTGTACTTTGTGGGTTATGCATACCTTGTACTCCGTGGGTTGTGGATGGCTTGTAATACCTGAGATGTGCATATCTTATGCTTGGTGACATATGTGATGGATACTTTTTTTCGTTTCGTTCAGTGGGCGAGCATCTGTTTCATTTTCAGTTCACGGGATATGTGTGGGTGTCAGTTCCCTACCTCAAGGGATACATTCGGCTTGTCTCTCTACCTCTCTCTTCCTCTCGTCTTCTCACACATACTTGTACTGCTCTCCTTCGTACGTTCCTATCCGCTCTTTTATTCAGTCTTCTGATCCTTCCTCTCCTCTTCTTCCTCTTCTTCTTTTTCCTGGTGCAGAAGGTATACTCGTCTGATTCAGCTGCTTAATTGAACAGAAATCTTCTTTAACCTCCGGATGCATTGTCCCCCTTTCAGTTTCAGTCGAAATTCACTTTTAGGAGTAATATAATCTACTATTCCCCTACCTGGTTTAGTCACTGTTACATACAATGGAGAATATTTACTTATATGGCAAATAAATGAACGTTCTGTTAAAAACAATTTTTAGTGTAAGTATGCTCCCGTGTATGTAAAGTTGAACTCTTAAAATATTATGAAGATGAAATTAAGAATTTTGAAAAAATATGGTGAATATAATACACATGGGAGAGATTACAACCCCATACAGGATTTTGTTCTGAAATTTTGGGGGAAAGGACAAATTGTAGAACACAGTAATAAAAGGGAGGATAATATTAAAATAGGCCTCAGTTATAATTTTAGTGTGATTCTTTTGCCACAGTGTAAAGTCTAGGCACTTTCCACAGAAGGCTAGGAACTTCTTAACCAACCGAGAGATGCGGAGCTGCAGTTATAAACTGAGGCTGGTCGTGACGTCATGTAGGAAAAGTAAACTGAACTGTATTACGTCTTATGGTTATGTGCCACTATTGCTCTAGAGCTGATATCAGTTTTTGTACACGTAGACATTGCATTTCCTTGGGAAAGGATTTGTAGAATACTGTGACGTCATTCACTTACTAGCTGTTATAGCAGCTGCCTCTTCGAAAAGCAAGTGGAAGACAAAATGAAATATAAAGCAACATACGAGTAAAATATTTACACGTTGTTTATCCATCGTTATTTCTTGCATCAAGAATTTCCGCCATTACTGAAAGTCACGAGGCATCTTCTACATGTTCTTTCTTTCAGCAAGCCACAAGACAAACAAAATCGGTACATCTCACACAATTCCGCCATTGGACACAAGACTGAGCCAGTTCATGACACTCGGCTTTTCTGCAGGTGACTCTTAGTGTTATCCTATCATTCCCTTCCCTATTAACTACAGGCGCTCTCCTTATATGGGAAATAGTTGTGTTTTGGCCCCAAATTAAGTGTGCTTATGGTTCAGTTATTCAGTTATTCGGTATAGAAGGGGTGGGTTTCCCCATGCACCACAACTAATAGTATATTGTACGTTCCCCTTTAATTTCTACTGTCTCCATACCCTACCGATACTGGTACCCGCTATTTCCTCTTTCTGCCAGCGAGGTCGGCCCTCTACTGGCATTGGTACCCGATAACTTCCCCATCTACCGGAGGCATTGGAAACTACTTGAGCGGGAAACATTATGCCTAATTTTGCTCAGAGGTCTCCTAGAGACATGAGGATCTTTTACGTGCCGTAAATCTACGACACGGTACCCACGGCTTAAAGTCCCTCCCGGAGGACTTGTTCCCTGAATTTTTCCGCCCTTAAAAATTCCACCGGGTTTGAACCCGCGTACCTTGAGTCAGAGGTGGGAACATTATCCCTAGACTACGGAGGCCGCGTGCTTATGGTTACTAAGAAAGTATCTTAGCTACTGCCAGGAACTGAATCCTCAGCACACCTAACATGGCGGTCCAGCGGTCAGCACACTTACTTCAGTACTTGGCATGCTGTATTCTCGTGGTCCACTGAACAGTAGTTCTTGAATATGTTCTCGATGTCAGGATTTTAGAGGCACGCGGCATACCCAATTAGCAAGCTCATGTAAAACATGTTAAATTAATTATCATGTTACATTCGAAGTTGCAGTAGATCAGAAACACCTGGAAAGCTTCAAAATGTGGTGTTGGAGAAGGATGGAGAAGATCAGTTGGACCGATTATGTTAGAAATGAAGAAGTGTTAATTAGAGTCAGTGAGCAGAGGAATATCCTACAAAATAAGAAAACGGAAGGCTAATTGGATTGGTCATATCTTACGCAGTAACTGCCTTCTAAAAGAAGTTATTGAAGGAAAGATAGAGGGGCGAATAGAAGTGACAAGAAGACGTAAGAAGATGCTGGATGACCTTGGGGACAGAAGAGGATATTTTCATTTAAGGGAGAAAGCTCTAGATCGCATCAAGTGGAGGAACTGTTTCGGAAGAGACTGTGGACCTGTCGTCTTGACAGATTACTCATGAATGAATGAATGAATGAATTCGAAGTTCTTGTGGCGGTAACTGTGAAGACTACCGTCTTCTGGGATGTGACACCGTGTAGTCTGGTGGATACTTACAAAGATTTAGGA